CTTATAATAAATCTGTAGAGAGGTCAATTCTGTACATAAAATATATTTAAAAAATAACTATCAAGGGGTGGTTAGGGATCGCTTCTGATGCCAAAAATGCATAAAATTATCTAAATAATATCCCACAACATCACATGTCTATCTTTTATGGTTGACTTACAATAACACGTGTAAATCCTGATAGCTTAGCAGTTCGGAGCTTTCTGCTTATATTTGTTTACTCTTACGTTTACAATACTCATCTATTGACTTTACGCTGTAACTGTAGGGCCGATGGCTGAAATTAGCTTGACTCGATATTATAAATGTGAAAATATGAGCTTATGTGTTTGTGTATGTTTGTTACTCAGTCATATTAAAACGACTGAAGGGACCGGAATGAAATTCGGAACAGAGGTAGAGTATGGTGTGAAGTAATACATTGGCATTTTCCCCCTGGAATCGCGGGCGAAGCCGCTGGCAGAAGCTAGTAAAAAATATAATAACTCAATTGTTTTCAAATGACGTTGAGAAGAAAAATCTTAGCCGAGCGAAAATATTAACTTGAAAGTACTGGGACGATAATGGATCCTCGCCTTACTCTTGTTAGAAAGAACCACATTATTGTTGTTATGCGACAGATCGTTTACTACGTAGGTAGAACCTATGTGATATGCTATCCTAGTAGTTTCAATTTCTTCTTGCGTCATTTTGCAAAGAATTGGTTCATCTGACATCATTCGCGTAGCATATTTATATGAGTGGGTTGGAGATACATACATAACTAGTGTTATAATATTTTACTATCACCGTCACAGAAATATTATATATCTGTGATCACCGTACTTAGATTTTTTTATTATTGCAATCCAAAGAATGACATGTGGCAAGCAATGATGTGTAATTTATGTATCAATGATGTGTAATCTATGTTAATTCATATTTTAATTGGGTTAATATTATTATCTCCCTTTCATAACAAGTAGTATATTTAACTTTCAATTCTATACTAAAACTTTATTTTTAAATATTGTTTAAAGTCCGTTCGCATGGTAAATATAAATTAAGTTAAGCAGGGAAACCTATTATTAGCCTTACTAAACTGTAATATCTTTATTTTGTATTATATCATATGTATCGCTGTTGGTTTTCTAAATAAATAAAATAAAAGTAATTTGGTTTTTTAGAAGGTTCACTATCATTATTTCCCATTGGAAGAGTATTTTAAGTGAGGCCTCGGCAAACACTTGTGTTAATGCCACTCAACGTCAATATATCTTCTTTTTCCATTCTCCCTCATCAGACATCTTTTCATAAAGTCCTTTCTAATATCGTCGTCGTATCATTGTATCAATGAATTTCCAAATTAAACTTTTCAAAATATTCAATATGTTCTAAATGTACGTCTTCTTAGATTATTTGAAAGTCTCCTTCACACTTTCTTTATCTAGATGCTCACTGCTCAGTTATTATTAGTATTCAATGTAATAAACACAATACTACACTTCAGATCGAGAAGTAAAACTACAAGTACAACAATATTCCTGTACCTTTTGTTACAACAGTTATGATTTCTGTAACAAGACAAATCGCTTTATTATTATTATTATGACAAGGGGCTACCTCCAATGTCTAACAATAGGAATTTAATTGATCATTACGATTGTCTTAATATTTTGCTTTCTCTGCGTAGGAAGTCTCAATCTAAATGTTATCAAAATGTCTTACGATATCAAGTAGATGATAATGTCAGACTACACGAGTTTTCGCAATGGAACTTTCTAGATTTCACTTCGTGTCATTATTGAATTTAGCGATGTGATAATGGCGGAATACATGTCACTACCAAGGGACTACACATTCGTTAAAAACTGGATGACACTACTCTCTGACAAACCTGAACCTTTTAAACTATGTTTGAATTTTTATCAAATATAATTAATAAGACATGCCCAAAATAGACATGTTTGCATAAGTAAATTCTTAGAAAAGACAATGTTAATATGAAAGAAACGAAGAGTTCTATTACAAATGCAATCCATATTAAACAAGGTATCAAGTGAACAATAATTTGATGAATGATGAAACTTGTAGCAGCGTAATTTATTATGCAGATTCGTGGGTGGTCGGCTCGTGGGCCGGTGGCTAGTTACCTGTCTGAGTTACTATAACGGCTAATTTACTACTTGATCATGAATGAAAATGTTACGTGGAACTTTCATCTTGTAATAGCTAGCTGTCAAACTTCGTATCGCTCCCGTAAAAGTCCGTGTGAATGATGTATGGACAAACAATTAACTTATGAGATTTTTCAGTTCTGTTATTTGGAACAGAGAGAAATAAAACAAATCAAAGAAATGAAATAATTGTACAGATCGAATAATTGTAAAAGGTATTAGCTTAACCGATCTCCAAGAAATACGTCTCAATGGTGTCTGAAACGATTTAATCTTTTCTCTTTAGAGCTTTAAACCTACATAAAATCTAGGTTTATAAAACAACGCACTGAATCAGAGTTCAACCAACAAAACAGTTTTAAACAAACATCGTCCAGACAAAAGTAATAAAACAGAACAGACTCATCTCGTACGTTAGTCGTAAAAATCAAAAAGATGTAAGCATCATTTTGCGGTTCAAAAATCCGTTCCCAAAATCCGAGGTAACGCGATAAATATTACATACATTGCGCAGTCAGATAGCGAACTAATAAAACTTCAGTGAGTGAGCGTAAACGGAATACAAAATATTTGTACCCGCTCTCGTGTCGGTCGGATTCCCACCCTCGTATCATTTATGGCGGTCGAAAACTGGAAAGATATGTAGGTACGGTTCTAAAATGGTTGTAAATTGTCCAGAATGGGAGAAGTGTGGATTGTCGATGTATTGGAAGGTCTTCGTTTGATTTTTAGATCAGAATCAACATTGTCATCAACAACTCTTCACTTCTGGATATGATCCACTTCTGAATAGTTTGTCATAATGTTCACGTTTTTTTTCTTCTCCTCTATCAATATCTTCATATTTATTTCGTTGCAGGATCCAAGACAGTTATTCATGTTTCTGAGACGCGCCGGACTTCCGTGCTCCGGTGTTATCATAGTTGTATCTACTGCAGATCCTGGCTTACAGGAGTTGCAGCGGTTTTGGGAGGTTGTGGCGGGTTTGTCCAATTAAAAATAAAGACAGGATAGAGATCGCAGTTTAAAATATATTGTTCTTTTGCAGTCTCTGTGAAATTAGTAATCCCTTACGTGACTCTTAAGACACGCACTTAAGGCAAGTGGCAATTTTTGTATTCGACTTTGCCATTATCAAGGAGTAATGTTATCATGATGTATTTATACACATGCTTCAAATAGTTTTAAATAACACTAACAATAGCTTTCCGAGCCACTACCAAACGTTAATTAAGAGAGAAAATAAAATTTTCCGCTCATTCAGCGTCCTAGAGCTCTCAAATTAGAGTCGAGAATAAATGTACTAAGAATGAGCAGTCAAGTCTTTACTGGCATCACTATTATATTGCGACAAACTGCATTGCATTCAGTACCGTTCGTGACGCTCGGGACAATAAAATCCAGGAATAATTGCATCTTTATTATAATGGGAGCTTTCAAATTGGGTATTTATTTCCTAAATCTGACCCTTTGGGGGTTTTAAAATGTTTTAGCCGTTTCTCTATGTGATTTAAAGCAATGACAACGCCTTCTTTTTCTTTCTCGATTTTACTTGTAAATTTTTAATCATCAACCTAATTCGAACCTCGAGTCAGTTTTAATTCATAGATAATCGGGACCATTGGCAAAATCACCACTCCATGGAATTAGAATAAATTTTTAATATTTCTTCGGGGCGTTTTTGGTATTTTTCATTCTTTCGAAAGATTCTCAGTAACACCTTTGACTTTGGAATTACATGTACTGTCATAATTATATCTTATTCTTTTATATAAGAAACAATAATTTGTGTATTTTTTTGAATGTGCCCAATCTCCGGAACGGTACGATTTGAAAAATTCTTTAAGGCTATAAACGTTACACTACGAGTAATAGAAGCCGAACAAAGAGGGTTAAACCACACAGAAGTAGGTAGTAAGTAAGTCATATATCAGAACTGAGAGGTAAAATGTGTTTTACATTATAGATATGTGTGCACTTGCTTAGGGCCCATACACAAAACTGCGATGAGATGCGATGCGAATTCGCAACGCAAAAAATTGCGTTGTTGTCGGAGTTCATGAGACAAGACGGGTCTCCCAGGGCGACCATTCCTTAGACGACCGTCAACGGTACTAAACGTATTTTAAATTGAAAATTAGGTCGTGACATGGATCGTAAAAAGAAGTGTGAAAGAAGATTTTAGGAAGAAGATTTAGATGCGCGATGCAAATCAATTCGCAGGTTCTTGCGATGCGTAGAGGGAGCTCGCACGTATCGTGTACGAGCCCTTACTCATTCGAAAATTAAAACTCGTATTCAGAATCCTCCGTGCCCATACAGACTAACAAAACCAAGTCGGCGGCGTCGTGAATTGCGTGTGAACGTCCTGTTAGAGAAGTATTTAGGTATCGGTCTCAACGAATAAATCAAAGCAAATAGTTGGGTTTATTATTTGACGTATTTGGTACATGTGGGTAACATTTACCTTCTCGTTGCTAATGTAAAGTTAACGACTTATCGACATACAAACACGACAAATCCATATAGGTACAATGTACAGTGTATATGAAACCATGTGAAATAGAGTCAAACTTTGAACATTTGATCGTATGGTCCCGTTGAATTCCCTATATAGTCATTGATAACCATAGTTATAGATTCTAAGGCGGTAAATTTTTTACCAGAGCGATACTTAATGTTATTACTAATAATTAAGAGAGAAGGACAATTAGAATGTTTGATGACCGTATTGCGATCCCTCAGTTGTTCGCCTAGTATGGGAATTATCAAAATCTCCCTAATCACAGAAATAACTTTGCTCAATAAAGGATGTCATTATAACAGAATTTTTTTCTTCCACAGAAACAAGCAATGCTCGTACGACAACTGGAAGAAGAACTAAGACTGCGCATGCGTCAACCCGCTCCTGAATTACAACAACAGCTGGAAGCCTTGTTTTCTGAAAATGAACATCTACAAAGAGAGATAGCAATATTGAGAGATACAATAAAGGTGAGATAGAAGATAAAGTAAGGTTTTAAGTATTTGCTGTAACGAACACAAAAGGTGACTGGTCTATCGATTAAATGTCAGATATCATTAGGATAACGGCAGTAGCTTTTTAGTGCATTGGGAATATTACAAATTACTTCAAACAATCCCTAGTTTGCTTTTAGAGTTAACACAACCTCCAAGATACTACGAACAATACCATTAAAAATTTAACAAACCAATTTCGTTTGCAAACAGGAACTAGAATTGAGGATCGAAACACAGAAACAAACACTCCAAGCCAGGGATGAGAGCATCAAAAAATTACTTGAAATGCTCCAAAACAAGGGGATGGGTACGTAACGAAAGTTTATTCGTATTGTGTACTTACCGTCGGCCGTAGTCGCTTAGCAGAAGTAAAAATCCGATAACTTGCAGGTAAAGAAGAAGAGCGTCAAATGTTCCAACAGATGCAAGCAATGGCGCAAAAACAGGTAATTGTCGCAACAATGTCTAGCGTGTCTCGTGTGCATGTGTCTGTAGCAAAACTTCTAATGCTCAGCCGAGACTTCTTAGCGATTTATTAGAAATTTTGTTACTTCGTAGCGGTTTCCTGCACTGTGTAGCGTAGCGGTATATTGTGCACGTCACTCTGCTTCCTGTATTAGTGTAGTAGTGCTGTGTACCACATGGGCGTTTTATTTTGTGATACCTTTATCATCGTCACTGTTTCTGTTAGAGTTGCTCTTGATAGTTTCATTTCATTCATTTCTTGACTCTTGAGCCGAATGTGACTGTCGCGACGCCTTTTTATGTATTAACTGATCGATCACACTCCTTGGCTTCATAAACTCTTTATCAAATCTCGCTTCTCACTCCCACGGTCTTTCAATACCTTTCTGTGACACTGTCAAAGCTTGAGCCCTGAGCACCAATTTACCGTTTTCTTACTCCCTCTTCCCGCCACCTACACGTCGACGATACAAAACAAAACAAACATGATTTTTAAAATTTCATCAAAGACGTATTACCTAATTCGGCCTCCAACACAAAGAAAAATTAAAAGAAAATATCGACACGAACACAAACTAAATCACGACATTGCATGTTTAGCAGCTCATTATGTCCCCGTCACATGAACCTTAGAGAAGACCGTCTCGTATAAATTTTATTGGACATTCAGTTTGAGCAATCATTGTTTTTAGAAGCAAAAATTTAATTTGTACCGCCTTCACCTGGGGCTGCGTCGTGTCGATGGCGAATTTTTTGTCGTAGCCGCGACCCCATTGTCGCACGTCGCGGCTAGTTCACAGTAGCAGTATCGTGTCGCGTCCGACCGGCACGCAGCCCCAGCGAGGCGCGGACGAGACGCGTCGCCGGTCGTAGGTAGGTTGTATGTTGAGCGGAGCCGCCGTCGGTGCTGGCGGCGGCGGGCGGCGGCGGCGGCTGACCGACTCGCGTGACTGGCAGGAGCTCAAGGCGACGGCGGACACCCTGCGGGCGCTGCAGGTGCAGCTGGAGCGCGCGCTGGCCGCGGCCGGCCTGCCGGGCGGCAGCGCGGGCGCCACTCTCACGGCGGTGCTCGAGACCAAGGAAGCGCGCATCGCCACGCTCGAGCGGCAGGTCGCGTTGCTCGAAGGCGAGCTGGCCGCGCTCGTGTCGCCGCCGCCGCCCTCGCTCGCGCCCTCGCACGCCTCGCTTTACGATAAGGCCGATCCTCCCTTCAAGAGACAAGTAAGTTTTCTGCTGAACGACGTGCGGGTGATGAAGGACGGGCGGCTCAGCGCGCCTCCGCCGCCGGTGCGCACGCCGCGGCCCGCGCTGCGCTCAAGCCACGCGCACCCCCGCGCCTCGCCCTACTATAGTGCCACCACTCTGTGACTCCGTCGCCGACGACCGACGAGTACCGTGTCAATTTCTCGCTTTAAGTCCGAACTTAGCCGAAATCGTCGCCGACTGTGTTGACTCGTAATATTTTTGTGTAAACTTGTTCGTTGTTAAAGCTATTTTTATTAAAATAAGAGGAATTATATTCTTGAAAGATGTCGATTTAAATATTTTTGTTAAATAGGGCCTTAGACAAAGCGAATATATAAATTTAGATGAAAATTGTATGGTTAGATGAAACATGTGAGGTTGATTACGTTGACACCAAATTTAACGATTTAGAGATAGACTGTTATGAAAATAAAGACTGTCGAGGTCGAATGCATCGAACGATATAACATTACCCTCATGTCAAGGTTCCTGTGAACCTCCTTGATCGTTTTCTGATTTGATCATATTGTGCTTTCGGTGTTGATCGCAAGTCATCGTCCAGTACCGGCTCCAGCTTGTCCCGCGTCACCCGTCATCAACATCAACTAGAGTAGCCCATCACGACCCGACCTCTCTCATGTAGTGGTCATGTTCCATCAGACTTCTCACAGTCACGGTAGATAAGTGTATCACAACGTAGGCGCCCGTGCATCTGACGATGTTTACTGTCGAACTACTTTGGTACTTATTAAGTATATTCATTAGATATTGGATTACTGGAAAACTTTCTACAACCCTCATCGAGGCTTCAGACTTTCATATATTTATTAGTATTAGTATAGAAAGTTTTCCAGGTGTAAATATCCACGTAATATTTGGTGGTTCGGTACGATTTATAAATATTTATATGTCGATGAATACGATTTATGATTGCATGTCGAATATTTGAACGTGTGAGAATATCGAAATGTCTTCCATGGCACTGCTCCTACCCGTGTTCACTACTTTAGTGCTGGAAACATTTCGTGCCCCGTGTACTAACAAATATTGACATAAAAAGCTTGCGTCGCTTGTCATAAGCTCGGTACTAACGTCACTAACCAGTATTTACTTGATGATCATTTGTGGATCAGTATTATTGAGTAGATTGAAGTTTTTAACATCCGTATCATTTCCGCCATCACTATTGCCTCCGTAGATAGTTTCTTTGGTTTATCTATTTGTGGAGTCTTCCATTTCTTGTGTTCTACTAACGAAATTTTTGGATTTATCTAATTCTATACCGACTTTTGGATGGATGGTGAAATGATGAGCAGCTGGACGAGTTCCGGTTGGAGATCCAGCGTCGAGATCAGGAGATCCTGGCGATGGCCGCCAAGATGAAGGCCTTGGAAGAGCAACATCAGGACTACCAGCGGCACATTGCCGTGCTAAAGGAATCGTTGTGCGCTAAAGAAGAACATTACAGTATGCTGCAGACCGACGTAAGTTATCACGTTCTATCACAAAAAATACATCCTGTACAAATTATCTTAGTTGCTGAGATAATGTATCACACAGAACAAATCGAGTGGCACAAACACAATTTAAACAAGTAGTGACGCACTATCGATTTACATTAACAATGGATACATACAGGACCTGCCTAACTCATAACTTTTTGTTAACTTCAAAATAGACAAAGAACTACTACCATGCACAGGTGGAAGAACTGAAAGCCCGGCTTGATGAGAAGAGTAGACTGGTGGAGAAGAAAACGGCGGCTGCGTTGTCAGCCACGCACGAGCTCGCTGAGCTCAGAGACCACTCCGAGATCAAGGACAGGAAGATCAACGTGTTGCAGCGCAAGGTAAATAGAAACTCGAGGTGTTGGAGTTGGTCGTAGGATATACAAACCATTCTTATACAGTACACGTATTAAAAAAGGATTCAATATAAATATAAAAGTCGATTATTTCTGTTATTGTTAACAATAGTGAAGATCATTATTGTCTCATGGAGAGAAATAACCAAAATGCGTCCATTATTATGCTTTTCAATCTTTGGTAAAACATAAGCTTTTGTCAAAGCTAAAAGTAGATCGAAATTGTACGATTCTAGACTTTGTGCTGCAAAATCGATACAATCGGTTTAAAACTGTTCTTCTATAAATTGAATCCTTTTTTAACCTCACCTCAATACTGTATCTGTTAATTCAGCTGAAAATGTTCCACTATATTCCATTGTATGTTGTACGCTATCTTTATCTATTCGCGTGTTCTCTAGCTAGCTAGAAGTACGTTAAGACTGAAATTATTTTTCATATCTACATTTTTATTTTGTATTTATTTTATTATGCTTATATTTGCTTTTTAAATACATGTACATTTATTTCTATGTCTTATTTTATTTTTAGTTCAAAAATGGTCGCTTTGGTCCAACCAATTAGGTTTAATTTGAAACAGTATTCAGTGAAACGTTCGATTCTATGAAATCGTCAACTGATTTCAAAATATGCATTGGCTGATTGCTCAGTCGATTGCACTAGCAACACGATATAAGACCATTAACATCAAACGAAGATCATCTATATTTGTGTGGCTATTGGTCAGTCGTCCAATTCGTGTCCGTCCCAGTTCCCTGATAGTTCCAATGGAGCTACGGAATTATTAATGTACGAGGAAGCAATAGTTACAATTAAGCTAATTTTCTATTCCCAGATAATTTCATTGAAATAGTTTATCGAACACTCCCAACGGGGTTTCACAATGAGTTCATGATTTGAATATTTAATACTGTTTGCTTCGAACTCATAGATATTTATTGAAAGGTTATTAAACATGTCTGTTTATTTGTTCAATGCTTGTTTCCCTTTGTAGTATGCGCTGTAAAATAAAGTTGTTGTAAGCGAAATTTAATTTCATTATCGCCACGAATACCTACACAAACAGCCGATACAGACTTTAATCCAATTAATTACTGCTTCTCAAATACTTGCTCTATTTACTTGTTTAAGCTATTATGAGCAGTACCAGTATTTTGGGTAATCTTGCTAATTGTGAATACAAAATTTCGGCAAACTTCTTTACACTGATTACAGCCTACTTGTTTCGTAGTGGTGTTTTGATTTCTAATGAAATATCATCTATTATTTCTGTATTTTTTATAAAGCTACTTGTGTTGTGATTTTATTTTTTGTTACTTTTGCTAGTGATTTTATGTTCGTCTTTTATGTTGAAGGTATGTTCTATTTTGTTTCTTTATTTGCTTTTCTTAAATACACATTTGGCATACATGAACATTTTTGTTGTTCTAAGTATTACCACGAGTAGTATTTTACACATTGAATGTTTTTCAGATTGAAAATCTAGAAGATCTCCTTAAAGAAAAAGATAATCAAGTTGATATGGCGAGAGCTAGACTGAATGCCATGCAAGCACATCACTGTTCTTCTGAAGGTGCACTTTCATCGCTCGAAGAAGTTATTGGAGACAAGGAGAAACAAATACAGCAATTGAGAGAGCAGAGAGATCGAGCTGAACACGAAAAGAACGAAGAAAGAGAACTGCACGAACGCGAAATAGCCGAATATAAAATGAAACTCCATGCGCTTGAGAGCGAAGTAGAAAAACTTGGTGCTAGACTCGAAAGAGCACAAGCCGAGAAGGATCGACTTGAAGCTAAGTTAGAAAGCTCACAGTCTGAACTGGGTAAGTCTAAGGCAGAGCTGGACAAAGCTGCCAGCGAAGTTGGCAGGTCTGGCGCTGATTGGGAGGCAGCTAAACAGCGCTTGGCAAGACTTGAGCTTGAGAACGAAAGACTCAAACATGAACTGGAGCGGTCTCAAACAACGTTCGGCAGGAGCACTTTAACAACGTCACAGGAGTTGGACAGAGTTCAAGAGAAGGCTGATAAGAGTGCAGCAGAGTTGCGACGAACTCTGGCAGAACTGAGAGTGACTCAGGCGGATGCTGAGAGGGCTAGGTCTGAGGCCAGTGCGTTGCAGGACAAACTGGAGAAGTCACAGGGTGAAGTCTACCGTCTGAAGGCCAAGCTTGAAAATGCACAAACAGAACAGGATAGCCTGAAGGAAGAATATGATCGGTAAGTGAAGAAAATTTTCTATCATATCTTCATTTTTCAACTTTTACTGTGGTTTGGTTTAACCAAACTTCTACACTGGAATTTATGTAGGGCACGTTGTCTTTAAAGGTGATGAAAATCTTGGATTCCGTGTGAAACTTTTTTTTTATTACTTTACAAATTAATTCTCCACGGACTCTTGGTCCATGCCCTTGTCATACTATGCGTGTGAAACATAAACTTCTCCTGCAGTTATACTTTAAAGACTCTCAAAGCATTAAGTAAAAACTAGTAGTTGTTAAGTTTTACGCGAATTGAGAGTCATTCGAGCCAAGTCCTTCTGAGATAAATATCAACTAACTAAGAAAACATTCGCTAAAGAATCTCTCTTATATAAGTCTACATAAATAGGTACAAAAGTTGAAGCACGCACTTCATAACTTTCTTTATTTATGTTCTTGTAATATCAAAGTTTATCTCCGTAACTTGAGTTTAGTATTTGAGACTGCTTGAGAGTTTAGAAACTCCCATGTTTCTACTTTATTTTTGCCTCAATTTCAATTATTTTATTTAGGGTGCAATCATCAGTTAGCCGACTCCACTCTGAGCGAGATAAGGCTGTGGCAGAACTGGACAAAGCCAGGGAGGAACTGGAACGTACTCAGGCCACACTGGGCAAGGCTCAGCTGCAACAAGACAAACTCCAAGCCTCGCTGGATGCCGCTCACTCTGAGATCGATAAGCTACAAGAGAAATTGGACAAAGCTGCTGCTGAAGTTAGGAAGGTGAGTCATTTGTGTAATTCTTATAGGTTTAACGGTAATTTCGATCTTAAGTCTGGTAATAATAAAAATCTTGTTCAAAGTCTAGGTCTGCGGCATGGTTCTAAATGAGACGAAACCGATTTTATCGACTATCTTATTTTATTAGTATTTTTTAGGTGTACTGTCAATCTTGTCATAGCTGAAAATTTTGAGATGTAAGACGAGACGAGAACTATGTAGATAATTCTCGTTCGTTTATTAAAAGCTATTTTCTTATAGGGTAGATACTTCTTAACTTTACTTAAATATGGAAGAAAGAAATATGATGAAAATAAACCAGAAATTTTCCAAGAGCGCTTGAGTTACACTTTGCGCGGCTGAGTTTTTGAGTTGGCACTCAGTTATTTTCCGAAAATATGAATTTAAATGTTGATGAATGAGAGAAAGAGAACTGAAATGTAAACTCAGTGAACTATGAAATAAAATGTTATGGCACTGTCTAATAATCGAAGTATGAATGAAACTATAAAGGAGAAAGGTTGTCTGGGACAAAGGCTGATAGACAAAGAAGGTAAAGTTATGCATTTTGCATTTATGAAGTGAACTTTGAACGGAGTCTGTAACTACTGAATAGTGTTGCTTCTTCATCCAGGTAAAATGTTGTTCACCTTTGAGAGGAGTTATAATGAGATTTTTGGTTCGACAAAAAGAGAGTGCAATATTTTACAATAAAATGATTGAATTCTATCCTCCTCTATTGATTGTATAGGAAAAGATAATAGGATAATATCTGATAGGATAGAATGGAATAATCAGACTTATTGGACTCACCACAAATAGTATAAAGACAGAATTTAAGTATAGACTCATCGACTTACTACCATGAGACTAAAACAGAACTAGCAATAGTAAGCATACTGTACATACAACTATGCCTAAGTCTAGAAAAGCCTACATTTAATTACCTAGTTTATAAAGTAAAGAATTCTTTATTTGACCTTATAAAGTTCTGCTAGTAACGGGGTTAAGTGTTCCATGTATAGTTTGATGTTTATAGCCGATCTAAGAGTGAGTTTACGATTGTTTGATAGAGGCCATAAAATACTATTTGTGACGATCTAAACGCATTGTGTTTATGGGTAAAGTTATATCAGGAATATGGAAGGATTGCAACAAATGCTAAAATTTTGACCAATTTTGACATGAGAGCTATGCGGATGATGATGATGATAACTTATGGTGTTTGTTAGATGAGTCTATTGGAATCCTAATATCAGAACATGATTAACTCAGCTCTTGCTTTGAATTCACTAATGCACAAATTTTCAGAATCACTCTGTTATACGTCTATCTTGTTCTTTTATCTCATGATATCTTAGACGAATCAATTTACTAGTAACGAACAGTAGAACAATGACATATGTTCCACAAATTTTAAATGCGAAAGTTTGTGAGAAGTTTTTCACGCAAAATTCACTCAATAAGTGCTACCGTATTTTTGGTCACCTAATGGCGCAAATGTAGAAAGAGATTTTTAGTCCAATCACAATGGTTATCAAAAATTGAACATCCAATGGGGCGATACTAACTAATTACCTATTGGACGAAGAATGAGAGGTTCACACTAGCTCAATCTGGTGAGCAAAAATATGGTAGGCCGCATTGAGTACAGAAGTAGATCTGATAATCCATGGAATAACCATGGGGTACTTTTTATCCCGGGGACGCGGGTAAAACCACTGGCAGAAGGTAATATTGCGATAAATGTCATAGACAAGTTGGCCAGCGAAACTATAGCAGACACAATATTAAATTAGAACAATGATATGCAGAAACTTTGGACACTGCAAATCTAAAGTACAATACTTCCGAAGTTAGAATGTAGATGTGTCTAACTTATTTGTCAACGAAATTCTAAAATATACTATATACTGTACTACCTATATAATAATATGTGAGCAAGTTGGTCTAGTGGTGTATTTTATTGTTCTGTTTTAATGCTTGTAAGCATGACAACTTTGAATGAATATATTAATTATGAGTGTGAGAGAGCTATGCGTCGACCGGAGCGATACCACGGCCTCACAGAAAACCGACGTGAATCAAGTGATTCGTCCGGTCGATTACCGACTTATTTCATAAAAAAAACTTCTTTCTTCGCCTTTGCCCCCCTAAATTATCTTTTAAGAGTTACTTAGCGTGACAGACCACCTAGCCTAACCCCTTATCTTAACTTCATTAATCATTTAATAGTTCTGATAATTACCGATCAGCTATAAAAAAGATACTGATAGATCTATTTAAACACCACTTAATTCAAATGATACCTCAGTGTCGTTACGGATGGACGACGTCGCTACTGACAAGTCTTTGATATTAAAGTTGAAAGTTGGCAGGTAGGGAAACATTCATTAATCCGCACTTGACCTGCGTGGATTACTTTATTGTAGGGCACCTTCTGAGAGTAGGGCAGTGGCCCAAATATAAGGGACGTAAAGGCTGATTATGCAAGAATTATCAAAGTCCTTTCAAGGATAAGGATTGATTTACATCCTCGGAACACGTACTGCATTTCAAAACTCATAATAAAAGCGGTGCAATTAGGCAACCAGCAGTTTTAGAATCTTTATCCTTACTTAATATTATAAATCGGAAAGTGAGTTTGTTTGTTTGTTTCGCTTTTACGCCATAACTACTAAACCGATTGCTTTGAATTTTTGAAAATGTCCGGATTGGATTGAGAAGTCCGGATTAAATAATAGGGTACTTTTTATCCCGGAAAAATTTGATATTCCTGAGGGAAAACAAAAGTATTGGTATAGATGGCGCTGTGTGTATTGGTATCTATATGTCACATTGGCTTTTTATCCTTTTGTGACGCGAGCGAAGCCGCGGGTAAAGCTAGTACTGAATAATTTTGTGGATTTGTCCACTAATTGTTGTTTAGCTCTGAACGTATAGGTATATGAAGTTTTCGTTTGTGAATGCACCCACATAGAAATACCAGTGCTAGGAAAACCTAGTCTACTGCTGAACGAAACTTTCCACGTCGAAGAAACATGTCTAAATTTTCTCTGGTGTCTGTAAACAGTTTTAAAACTGACCCAAACCCAATTAGGAACATAAATAGCAAGGTTCTATACTTCCTACTTTCTCACAGTGTCAAGTGGACCGAGAGAAGCAAGCCTATGACTTCGAGTCGCTACAGTCGCAGCTGGACAAGGCGCTGGGCATGTCCGCACGCTTCGGCAAGGAGAGGGACACGGCACAGCTGGAGGCTGATCGGTTCCGAGACAAGTATGAAAAATCACAGGTAAGATACAGTAACTAGTTTCATTGTTTTATTGGCCTTATTTATACCGGTGCTATTGTGGAACATTGTTGGTGAACTCATCAACAGCCTATAAATGCCTACTGCTGAGCAAAGCCTCTTCTCACACGGAGAAGGTTGACCATTAATCATCACGCTTGCTCAATGCGGGTTGGCGATTACAAACTTATAATTAGAAATTATAAGCTCAGGTTTCCTCGCGATGTTTTCCTTTACCATTTGCCAGTGGTGTCTGATTAATCTTAGAATGTACATGTAATATGGAAAAAGTCACATTGGTACTTGCCGTTGGTAGGTTTCGAACCCGAGGCTGAGGGTGCCCTCATGCATGAGATGCGAGCGTTTTAAACATCCGGGCCACCACAAATTGGGCACTATTTCAAAACATTTGGTGGTAATACCGGTAATAAAATTATGTGAATAAATAAATTCAACTAAAACCAAACTTTGAAATAAAGAACTTATTACTTCTCACAAGGCTTGCAACGCACGTGTGTTGTGGCTTCTCCAGTGTTGCAGGCGTCCATGGGTGGCGCTGATCACTTACCATCAATGCCTTTTCACACGCTCCGGTCGCCTGGTACCCGGCGCAGTGTATATGTCGTAGGATAATTTGATACTTCGAATCTTCGCGGAAATCCTAGGGGTTTTGCGAAAACGCGGATAATTAGACATAGGCGAAAAATTATCAAATCTTACTGGACAAAGTCAGGATTTTTGCGAAAATACTCGTTACTATAGTAAGATTTGATGTGCTCAACACTGATCGGCTACAATTTTGCTGGCTGACTTCTAATTGGTTCCTAGTTTGCCGATGATTAACTTCAAGTATTGTATCATAGAGTTATGAAGGTTTAGAATAGGTGAGAAAGGAAAATCCGTAAATTGATTTTTATAAACTTTTTATTGAAAATTTTAGTATGTAGGTATGTTGTTTTCTACAGACAATAGGAGATCTCAGTCGTACCAATCAGAGACGATCTCTTATTGAACGCGCTGACCGACCAATCAGCGTTCTTATTTCATAACAGCCAGCGTTTCGTTCCGCAATCTTACTATAGTAACGAGTATTTTCGCAAAAATCCTGACTTTGTCCAGTAAGATTTGATAATTTTTCGCCTATGTCTAATTATCCGCGTTTTCGCAAAACCCCTAGGATTTCCGCGAAGATTCGAAGTATCAAATTATCCTACGACATATACAAATTACGCCGGTACGTGAAAGCTATAGTGGCCAAACACTGCGCCGCTAGCTACCCGGTAACCGGAACGTGTGAACAAACAATCAGACTGATATAAATAAAAAAAAACTTAATTTATGCTATACTCACTTGTAAGGTGACCCATGTTTCATTACGAATGAGCCAGCTCGACTGGAGTGATACGACGGCTACGAAAACCAGCGTGAAACAACGCTTGCATTGTATTTCGCTATTGTCACTATAACAAAAAAACAAAGCAAAAGTAGATTTAAGTTTCAACTAAAGCTTTATAAAGTTTATTTTTGCACAAAAACCTTCACAAACAAACGACGAGGACTCTTTTAAAATGTTTAACAATTCAAGAGAGTTTATAACCTTTTCGTGGGTATATATAGCCTCTGCAGTAAATGGAAAACACAGGCAAGGCAGGCTTTAAAATAATTATATTTAAGACGTGATGAAAATAAATAAAATGTAGTGTTAAGTGGATTGGGGTAGACGACTAATTTTTATTTTAATGTCCGTCTGGTAGATTATTTAAAAACATTAGACACGTATTTTTTATTTTCTTACGGAAACGAATAGTTTCGAAGATATATTGATTTGAAATGTCGCGTGACGTCACTTCTCAGTACATTTTATACTAAGGAATGACGTTTTAACCCCCACTCCTAAACTTTGATTCGTTTTATCTAAGTGTTGTTTTATTATACGACAAAATAAAAAAATACGTGTGTAATATTTTTTAATTACCTAACTTACGAACTAATTATATTTTTAATTGTCATACCCTGTCATCATCCCCATTTACATACCTACCGGTTTCAGTCACTTGATTAAAGAAAAAAGCCCCTGAATCTCGTGTCTATGATAAACAAACAAAAACTCTTTCAAATTTATTCATATTCAAAAAATGACTAACAAAAATTGTGTGCGCAAATTGACACATAAAACATGCTAACCACAAATTAACTACACTTTATACTCCTTAAAGAAATAAAAACAATATTAAGTTAATAAAAAATATGAATATAAAAAAGCACCAAAATGAATTTTTAAAATCCATTTTTAACGTGAAATATATGGTACGTGAGTCGCCTGAAACTTCACTTAGCCAAAAGGCTGTCGAACCTGAAACACGAGTACGTAAACGGATACAACTGAATATTTGATCGTTTCAGCTGAAAATTTAAAGCCTAAATGTAGGCAACCGAGACTCAGACGACTGTTATAAAATTAACATTGAATAGTACATTTTAAAGCTGAATATGGAATACAATTTACAATTCTGAATATCGATATTTTCAGGGACGTTTTCAGTGAGATTTTTGTTATTTTAAAACATGGTTAAGGCTTTTATTTTGTATTTTCCAGTGCGAATACCAAATTAAATTTTGCGCGTTCGGCAAAGTATAATTGTTATGTTTACCCGCCTTATAAAGATAGTAGGACGTTCTCAGTTTGTACATAGGTATATACCTACATACAGAATGATTGTGTTAGTCCGTGACTATCTCGCGATTGACAGAATCGATTTTGATGTGGTTTTCAGAAAAGTATTTGCTACACTTATACTCAGAGTATACTCAGAGACATTTAATGTTTCCATGTGAATGTAATGTAATGTAAATAAAAAAATTAAAAAAATATATATATAGTAACGATTTTGTACCGAAAACAATTGCTAAGGACTGGGTTAAGTTTCCGCGCGCGCCTCAAAGAGCCATCAGACCACCACAGATGGGGCCCAATACGGCCGATGCCGATTCGGAGTCGCGGAGAACCTAACGGGTAACCGGGGCTCCGGCTCGACGTGCAGGAGAAGGAACGGGGTGGTTTTTAGTCAGTCAGAGTCTGACACTCCCTCCCGCCTCACCCAGGCGAGAGCAGTCATTCGATGATGTTCCCCCCTTAAAAAAAAAAACGGACTGGGTTAAGTAGCCATTAAAAGACTGGGTAAGGCTCTTAGGAGTGGTTTTAGTATATTAACGGACATTATTTTCCGACTTAAAAAAAGAAAGAGGTTGAATTCGATTTTTTAAACCTAGTTTTATTATTTCCCTTCTATGGTATATGACTCATAACATAGCAGGTGAAAACGCATAGTGTTACCTTCTATATGTGCATCTCTGCTAACCCTCCAGGACTTAAAAGGCGTATTGTTACGAAATACATTATAAAGAATGTAATAAAAGGAGCTTTGTGCCAAAAATTCTCAATTACAATTCTCCAGATATTGGATTTGGTTGACAAAAACTCTTCGTTCCAATTATGATAGAAATATTTTCCCTTTTCCTGTACCTATATAATTTCTTTTCCAATCTTTTGTTAACTTTCGAGTCTCGGATTTTGATTATTTATTCTTTACGATATGACTTCATACCTAAGTATATAATTATATTTATTGTATTGACCTTTTACCTTTTTACTGTACTTGACTCAGAATTTTAACCAAGTTCCTCTAGTTTTTAGGATGTTTTACGAAAGTACTATTATTAAGTGCCTGTAAGATTCTTTACAAAGTCGTTATGAGTAATGTTAATAACATACATACATATTTACATCAATAAAAAAACACTTCTATAATTCTCGAAAAGAGTTTGCAAGGTTCTGGCGTTGCGGGTGTCCATGGGCGGCACTGATCGCATACCATCAGCCGATCCGTCTGCTCGTTTGCCTTCTATTCCATAAAAAAACGAGTGTGACTCCTCAGATTCATTGGATTTTCTTACCTCAACTCACTTTTAAGTAACCAATTTTGTACTCATTGGTAATAAAGGCAATGTTTAACAATAAATTCCTCTTCGCTGATATGATGAAGATGTAAAAAAACACTAATGTCAAAGTAGTAAGAATGAAAATCAATTGATAGATATCAAACATAACTTCTCTAGGAAGAATTTTATTGATTGACACTTGAAGCAAATCAACTTGGCCTTGAGGTTCTCCTTGATAATAAATATTAAATACTTGGTTAATAAAACCGGAGGACCTCTTATTACTGACGAAACAATTCCGATTTTCGTAGAAACACAAATTACTTTTAGATGTGATTGTAACTTCTCTTTTTATGTTACTTTTTCTCAGAAAATTTGTTCATTATGTATTTGTACTGATAATATAAAGATGGAAATGTGTCCAGTAACTATATGGATAAATTAAAAACATAGACAATGGAAAGTGAGGCAAGGAATGTGGAAAAAAGTGTGGAAAGGAATGGCTGATACATTAAACATGTGCTTTCATCTTGGGAGAATCAAAGGCGTTGTTTTTACAATAACAATCGTGAGACAACCACAGATAGATTCTTCCTCATGAACAGTGTGTGCGGTGTGTTGGGAAGTCAGAACCACTGTCACACAAATGAAACGATAAAATCATAGATTGCACTACAAATAAATAAATATTTTGATTTTCGTTTAAATTTTAGTCAAAATCAGCTTAACTCGCATAACTATGTTACATCTAGAAATAAACCTTAAGCCAATTATGTAGGATAATAAATATATTTAGGACTAGTTTTTTTTTTCTATTCCATGTTAAAACTCATAAACAATTGGACTGGATCGACTAATTATAGAGGTAATTGAAATCCAGAATTGTTTTGAACGACAAAAATGTGAGGACAAACTGTGTTTGGATTAAGCTATGAGCCAGGACCACCTCACTATGGTTTCATGCGAATGGCCGTACGGGTTATCGGGGCTCCGGCAAGATTCAGGTATAGGACCGTTCCTTAAAACCACCGCCATTACGACTCTGACACACCCTCTCGGCTCACCTAAGGCGGGAGACCTTTAATGATTAGCCCCTCTCAAAAAACAGAGCTAATAATACCAACTGAATGAAAATTCACTTTAAATAACTTCACGACTGATAGCCAAAGTATGCTAATAGAACGAATGTATTTAGTGGGCAGTTTCCTGACAGGTTTATCTGAATACATTTGAAGGCGTTAACTGACTCATTAACTTTATGACCCGACAATTAGTCTTTATTGTTCCCCGAAGCTCGCAGTGAAGCCAGAGTTTATATAAGCTTAGCAAACATATAGTTTTTGGTATATTAATCATGTATTGATACGATAAATATTTATTAAAATTCACAAACCAAAACAGACGTTACAACATGATTGTGTTCTAATTCTTGTTTGAATATCAAAAACCCAGAACCATTATAGTTCTTTCCTAATGCCTCTATTTCTTGTATTAGACCAAACGAGAAAAAATAACCACTAGAGAGATCATCGAACCCTAACCAATAAAACCCTGGAACACACAGCGGGGTACCTAGTACCGCGTTGTCAAGAAAATTCACTCACAAATCTTTCACAGAGCTCCAATATTCGTTCGCAAAGATCTCGTCACACAGTTATGTTCTATCGTAAATCAAGCGAGCAAACTTCAGTGGCGCCCGTCTGTCTAGACCCCGCTTTATGTAACATGTCTAAGCGTTTCTGACATGATCCGAAATTGAAATAGTACGAGATAATCTTAGAATTTTATGATACTTGCTTTGCCCGATTGAAATACTGAGTGGCCAGTGTGTTTTGGTATATGCGCGCTCCGATTGGCTGCTACAATTTAACCAACCAATCAGAGAGCTAAACGCGGTAACATTTTCGTTTACGTATATAATCTTAATCTAATTAACAAAAACGTCTTTGTCTGTTCAAGGAGTTAATCGAGCTTTAAATAAATCATCAACTAAGTAGTCTTTATGTGATATCGTAATTAATTTTGCTTAAATATACAATATACTTGTCTTTTTTCTGACACGGATTCCTTTGATTCAAAAACGATTTCAATAAGATTTCATTTAGTTTTCATCTTTCACACTTTTATTGCATAATTTTTTTTAAATTGAATTTAAACTTTATATTCACGTACTAAAACAGATTTTATAAGACACCGTCACACTGAAAAGGCGCCATAAACTGGTAACATTGAGTCAACATATTTCTGGTTTCTGGTAACATCGCGTCAAATGAAATCTGACGTTGGTTTTATTCGCTCGTTTCCCAATATTCTAAGAACTGTTATAATATCAAACTAGATGTACCCAGAATCTGGAATGAGTTTTCTCTGAAATGATCATATTATTAAACAGATTTAAGTCGAAGTAAAACTTTATTAATTTTTTAATGTATAGGGTGGCAATGAATAAGTGTGGGAAAGCCATGCTTCGGCACGAATGGGCCGTCATGACAGGTGTGAATAACCTAACCTCACAGAATACTGACGTGGAACAACGCTTGCGTTGTGTTTCTTCGTTAAAGTGAGGTTACCGGAGGCCCAATGACCCCTCCCCCTTCCCCTTTCCCAATCCCTGAATCCCCAACAATATTCAAATTCGTAATCACCAAAAGGCCAAGTGCGTTACAAGTGTCACGACTCTGGTGTTTCGGATGTCCATGGGCAACGCCAATTGCTTACCATCAGGTGATTCGTAGGGTCGTTTACCGACTTAGCTCATAAAAAAAACGATGCCATTCATAGATACCTACCTACTATGCTGCTGTTCGTTGCTGTTCAATTTATTTAAATTAGCAACCACCAATATATGGTACTATTGAAACTATATAAAAATTGGCAAAATATCCGTTACCTATATAGTACCTAAAGCTATTCGCGTGTACCTACCAAAGTGTAGATATTCCTATGGAGAAGAACGACCAAGAAACCTCATGGTTACTCCTTTTCAATCAGTTTGACAATCCAATTCTTGGTTACATTTGAAGTTGTAATCTAAGCATTTTATTTCATTTAATTCTTAGACATTTTCGAATTGGCAAAATAGAAGTGTCTATCATTCTGCCTATCCGTCTGTCAGCAGAACAAAGCGTTCTAAATCGTAGATCGAAAAAACCGAGTAAGACACTTAATCGTTTTCTTTAAAATAAATGAGTAGACTGTTTAGAAGCATGAAATGATTGGTCTTAATGAACTCGTAACTTTAATTATAGCATGTAAGTATTATCCTCGGTTAAAGTGTTCAAATTTTCAATTGTGTTAAATATAGTAGTCCCATACTTAGCTGTTACAACACCCACGATAAGTGTTCATTGTGTACTAAAAATATGTAACTACGTATAAAAACGTCAATTCGAAAATAGTAGATCAGCGACCGATATTCCGGTCAGACGGTACTATCAGTTGTATTGAATCGGTAATCGAACGGATAGAATTGGAATCGGCCCTCCACTTAGCCGGCGATATTGATCTGACTGAACATTTTCTGATCAATTTTAAAGGATTGCTTTCGATATTGTATTTTGATCAGACTGATAGCATGATAGAACTTGATAGATTTTCTGTCGTTCCCCGTTTTGAGGGCATTCAACTCGTTCCGTAGCTGACTTAGTACTTACTCTATTTGGAATCTTGTCGGACTTTTGTAAGGTTGTGTTTGGATGAGGATTTAGATTTGAATTTCGATGCTAGTGATTGCTCACGTTGGTTATCAGAAGGTATATTATAATTTATTGGGCACTTATGACACTCGTGGGATGATTTGGGGTGATAGTTACCTTTAGGATGTGCTGTAATCGGCGTTGCACAGTGGGAGTTTCGAAGTATGTCTATAAAAGGACCCGGTGCCCCTGTAAGAGATGATGATCACTAAAACTACCTAAGTGGTAGCCACTCGGGTGGTTTTAGCGAGCCGACAATACCACACTTCATTGTCTTTCTCCCCACAAAACTAGACGCCTTTTGAAAGCCTCCTTTGCCGTCACTACACACTTTAAACGTCAGTAATTATACCTACTATAAATACTACTGAAAAATAGCATGATAAAAACCATTCTGTTGAGCCACCAACCATGCTCAAAAATGTTCAAAAGTCGATCGCCTATCGATTCACAAACATGCCTAAAATGAGCATGCTCATTTTGAGCAATATTCCGACACACATGCTACTAGGTGACAAGGACTCAATTGAAGCATGCTTTCGTGCTTCAAATTAGCATGTGTAACAATACCTTAAAAATACAGACTAGCGGACAGCAATAAACCACTCGTCCTCCGGTATACAATAAAATTGTCGAGCAATAACAAAAAGGTTTCGTTCAATATTTGCCAAGTTCGACCCTTGTTTATTGGTTGTAAAGACGCGAATACTACTTGATGTCGCTCTAACATGTAACTTTGGTGGAATACTGCCAAATTCTTCAGACTATGGAAACTTTGTATTTAAATCTGTGTGCTAGACTTTCATTTCTAACATAACGTATGGCTGTCTTCACTGACCGTTTTAGGGGTCTAAACGATCTCTTAACTAAAGAGTACTTAGCGTAATATAGTAGGTAAATAAAATTGGTTTGTTCAGCACCTACACTAACACCTTACTTGTACTGTTAGGGTTGTTGAAAACCAAAATGACGTTAAATGTCACTTGTCTTAGTTTAAGGGTTCCTTAAAATTTAGGAGAGGTTTTGAAAACGGGCGTAAGATCTCTTCATATTTGGCTTTAATGCTAATAATGTAACATCAGTCAATACTCTGATGTAATCTACTCAATTATATTAATTAATACATTCCGACTGTCGTCTGATTTCATATTCGGCTAATTGATTTTCATAATTAGAGTACAACTAATTACCACGTTTTGGTTCGGTTGAATAGAGATTACCGTAATTTCAGTAATAGATTTGACTGACTCTAGTTTTAATTCTAAATGTGATAATAATGAACAATTTGGTTCATTGTAATTAACAATGTCATTTTATGGACAAAGTTTTAGTTCATTGATTGCAAATAGGTCCCTGAATCAATTCCCGTATAAAGTATCATTAGGTTTATCAATTTCCAAAATTGTGAAAATATCTCCCACATAGACATTTCGTTTGCCTTCATCTTTGAAGTGAACTGCATTCGCAATAAACAAAATATAATAATAATGGAATACACAAAGAAAAGGAATAAAGCAATCTCCATTCAAAATCACCTTCTTTTTCAGGCACTAGTAACTCGCATCCAGAAGGAACGTGACACAGCCCTAGCAGAGGCTGCAAGCTGCCGCGAAAGAGCTGAAGCTGCAGCGGCTGCAGCTAACAGAGCAGCCAGGGACCGTGACAGCGCCACCACCGAGCTGGACGTCCTTAGAGAAAGATGGGAGAAGGCACATCAGCAACACCAGAAATTAACGGTAAGTTCTTCCTAAGTTGTCTGTTGTTGTCTAGAAATTGATGTTAAAAAGAAAACTACAGATTTACGTGTAGGCAATCGATAAAAGTAACTTTTGTCTTATAAAAGCTGATTTTTCCAACACCAGGAAATTTTAAATAAGAAATAACTTTCAATATTTGACAATTCTACTGAAAACTTTCAAATATCAATTTTATTCTACAGTTAAAAATTAACAGATTATTGAAAAATCGGACCTAAAACTTCTTTTGGTTTATTCACAGATGGAACGAGACGATGCACTGACAGAGCTGGAAATATTGAAAGAAAAGCTAGACAAAGCCCTCTACTCCACACAGAAAACTATCGAAGAAAAGGAAACCGCCCACAAAGAATACGAGAAAATGCTTGAGAAGTATGACAGGTACCTTTGGATTTACATGTCGTCTTGTGTTGGTGGCGATGTTTGTCTTAGTGTGTGTTACGTACATAAGTGTATATGAATGACACAGAAACGAGTATCTGTTATTGTTTCAGGTCCCAAAATGAAATCTACCGACTTCAGAACAAGATAGATATACTCGAAGCAGACAAAGATCGCCTTGAAATGGAGTTCGAAAAGCATGCGCATATTGCGACGAAAGCAAGAGAAGAACAACGCAAGACACAAGATGAACTCGCTAGATTACAAGAAATGTACGATAGGGCGTCACTCCAACTTGGCAGGACTAAAGAACAGGAAGAAAAAGCCAAGGAAGACATGGATAGGTTAAGTGTCGACATTGAAATGGTACGAGATCGTTACGAAAAGAGCCAGATCGAGCTTAGAAGGTACCAGGCTGAGAAGGAGAAGTTAGTTGCAGATAACGAACGGCTTCAATTTGAATATGACAGGGCAATGACACAGTGTGGCAAAGCGCAAGCTTCGAATGAAAAAACACAGGAAGAAATGGCTAGAGTGCAAGTAGAACTTGAAAAAATGTATGACAAGCACGACAAGGTAGCGGCTGAACTGAGGAGAGTTCAAGCCGAGCTGGATAAGGTGAAGCAAGATGCGAGCGGGGCGAGAGAAGAAGCTGAGCGATATGCGGCACGATATGGGAAGTACCACGACACTAAAGAAGAACACGAGAGGACTAAGTTGGAGGTGGAACGACTGCGTGCGCGGTTAGAGAAGACCACGATAGACCTGGAACGAGCGCGCAAGGCTGAAGAGGAAGCATCCCGTCTACGTTCGGAGCTCGAACGCCACGAAGCCGTCCGAGGTAAATACCAATTCGAACAGGACAAATGGACTAATGAACTAAACAGAGTGCAGGCAGAACTCGACAAGCAACACGAACGCTACGAGGCGGCACAGGCAGATATTCAACGCCTGCAGGCTGAGAAGGAGCAAGCAGAGACTAAACTACACGAGATGAACATACAATTAGAGCTATCCAAGAGCGAAGTGACCAAGTTGAACGCGGCATTAGAAAAGCAACGAACAGAACTAGAACGTGCTCATATTGAGTGCGAGAAATTCAGAGATCGGTGTGAAAAGCTTAAACTGCGATCAGAACAGCTGGACAAAGATAACGAACGACTTAAAGGAGAACTGCAACAGATTGAAAGGATGAAATTGCAAGCGGTTGCAGGAGACAAAGCGAGGACCGAAGACAGGCTCGAAATCGAGCGGCTTCGTGACAAGCTTGAAAAGGCAATACAGGCAAGAGATTCTACAGAAATGGAGGCTGGCCGCTTAGCAAAGGAACTAGAGAAATCTCAGATGCATCTTTCTAAATATCAGGAGACCAACGAGTCGACTCGTGTCGAATACGAAAGAATGACGAATGAACTTGGTAGAATGCACGAACGTCTCGAGAGAACCATCTTAGAGATGAGGCATGTAGAACAGGAGAGAGATGCACTGTTGCAAGAGATACATAATATGAGATTCAACGTGGACCAACAACAGAGAACCCTGGATCACCGCACACAGGAAACCCTTGTAAAATTACAGCAGGAACTTGCTCAATCTGTTCGCGACAGAGAGAAGATGGCTTCTATATTAGAACAGAGAGATAAACAAGCTGATGCTATAGAAAAACAGATTGTAAAACTGGAAGCCGACACAAAACAGCTTACAATCGAGCGCGACCAATTAGTGGCACAATTGGAAAAATCTCAGGACATGCTTGTGAACTTCCAACGAGAACTGAACGCATCAGAGGCCGAGTTACAGAAGCAGCGCGAGGAAGTGCGTAAAGTAAAAGAAGAACAACGAAAGATGGCACAGGACTCTGGTGGCGCCAAGAGCGTTATTGAAAGTCGCGACAGAGAGATCGCTAAGCTGCAGCAGCAGGTACAAGCTGTTAATAAAGAAAAAGAGACGATTAGACAGAGAGCTGAAAAGGCCGAGAAAGAAGCGCAAAAGGTCGGAGAGATTGAAAAGTGGCGCGCTATTGTGGAGCAGGAAAAGGCAAAGACGGCTGCAGCGGAGCGCGCGCTGGCTGAGTGCCAGTCGCGCCTACAACACTTGGAGAAGCAGATGCAGGCAGGCGCACGCGGCGGGGCAGACGCATTGGCTGCTGCGCAGGCTGATGCCCGCGCGCACCAGGTCGAGCGCGAGCGCTGCCAGGCGCAGCTCGAGATGCTCGTCCAAGAATTGGAGAAGAGCCAGGTCAGTTGGAGGATCGCCCGGCGACAAGCCCACGCCGCAACCACCCGTTCAATCGAGTTTCAATTCCAACCACTTATTTCTTTTACTTTGTCTATGATGATGCATCCAATTGTCTCAACCAGTTTCATAAAACTGCTCCAACCTAGGATTTCTTGAAAAGAAAATATTACTCTTAGTTGTTGTTTGACGCCGTTGCGATACTAATATTACGTGGTTGATACTCTGATAAACGAGTTAAGTTTAAAACAGGGTCCGGATCAAAGCAAATGATGTAAACACTAAAGTAGCAGCTGAACTCTGTAACAAGCAGTTAAAGAAGATATACTTATCTACTACATACAATATACACTAACTCAAACACAGTAAAAGATTTCAGTGTTCACTGAACTTCTTGCATGATCGGGTTGGGAGAATTGGATGATTTCGGTTTTAAATTTTAGCATGAACTCACGAACTCAATTGAACCGCAGCGAGTGTACGTTGTCTGCTTAAATCATTGCACCGGTGTAACGAGTAGATTGTTTTATTTGGATGTTCATATTTTGGTTTGATCATCGCCGGTCGTCATGTTGTCGTTGTATAGTGTAGCATGTCACCCACGGCCCGCTGGGCATCCTCCAACCCCTCATTGTTCGTATTTATTTTATTAGTTTCATCATCAGTGTTACGCGACGGATTGTCATGGAATGTGTTTGTGTTGGAGACGAGCAAATTGTTGCACCATACATTTCCAAGTCACAGTGCACCGAATGCAACCCTACCCGTTCGATGGTGGCAGTAAATGTCCGGTGCAAGAACATTGCAATAAACGCTTCTTGTTTACTTGGATATGTTAATTTTATTCGTGTTTTTCAGCCGTTCGCTATTGTACTGTGTATATTTGCAATATTTTTATCATTGTTCGTTCATCTCAATAAATATATTTTGGGAGGAGATTTGTCGTAAATTATTTGGCTGCGACTGAAATATATTTTGCAGAGTTATTTTGTAAGATAAAGTTTCGCTTGTTGAATTGAATTTTGCGATATTCGTATATCTAGCTTTGTTAAGCTTTGTGTAAGAGTGTATGAAGCTATTCATGCAGTGTAGTGGACTGCTGTTGTGTACGTTAATATTTGTTATTTTCCGGTAACAGCTCGATCTTCGAGAAGCGACGAAGAAACTTCAAGCTGCGGGCGCGCAAAACGCCAAAGCTGGGGAAGACACAGCCCAAGCTAAGAAGCAACTGCAAGAGGAATTTAAAAAGTTGGACGATGCGAGGAGACAGTTCGAGGAGCAGAGGAGAATGGTGGAGAACAAACGGAAAGACGTGGAAGAGAAGGAGAAAGCGTTGGCGGAGTTAGATCGACAGCTGAAGAAGAGAAAAGAGCAAATGGACCAAATGGAAGCATCTTTGAGGAAGGTTAGTGATGAATAACAAACTTAAGTTAACTTTTTGCGCCTAGTTAACAATTCTTTTAAAATCACAGAAACATTTGTCTGTGTTTACGGAGAGTTGTATATTTAATATCATATTAGTAATAGCATTTAAATCAAACCATTATAAATGTACTTCAGGCCGGCGGCAGCACAGCGGCGGCATCAGAGCTGAACCGCAAACTGTCAGAATCGCAGAAGGACGCGGACGGGCTGAAGCAGCAGCTCGATCAGACTAAGGAAGAGGCTGCACGCCTCACAGCTGAGACCGAGCGCCTGCTGCAACTCGTGCAGATGTCGCAAGAAGAACAGGCGCAGAAGGAGAAGCAGATCATCGAACTGCAACAGTCAGTATACCAACATATACAATTATTACCTCTTTTTTCAGCACTTAACGATGACCCTTCTAAAAAGATCCAAGATGCGGCATCACTGTTCATGTATCATTAGCTGAAGTTAAATAAGGTTATATTTTACTTAACTGCTAATAATATTGATAGCTCACTGTTACTTCCTAATTAGACCACCGTTTTAGTTTGTGCCACTGCATATTGGCATGACTGATGATGATGATAATGATATGATGATGAGTAATTTCTTAGTATTGTATTGATATTTTGAAGAATCACGCATACATGGTCGTGGTCCAATACTCAGGAGAACTTATGATAATGAAAAAGAAATGTGTGTTTTGTTTCGGAAATTTAAAATATGAATAATTCGTTCGCAGATCTGTTAGAAATCTACAAGCCAAACTGAAAAGTCAGCAGCAAGCACAAGCACAAAGAGAAGAGGTATGTTTCACTTCTTATATTAAAATTTATACATTTTATAACAAAGAAACAAGCTTGGTTTATTAAAACAAATGTTGTCAACCTAAAGTGTTAAAGTGATAAAGTTCAAGTTAAGAATATATTTCTATCAAATGAAAAGGAAGCATGTTTAGCATGTCAAGTGACTAATGAAAATGAAGTAACAAAACTATAATAAACTAAATTGACTGTTGCTGCTGAAGTATCGAAAGAATTATGAAACAAACTATTACACTGTTCTTCAGAGCATTTATCTTCTCATTGCTGTTTTACTTTCCATAATTCGTCTGGTACTTCATTAGCTACGATCAAGTTGTGACTGAAGCATGTACTAACCAAACTAACATTTTCTGTTCCATGCAGGCCGGACCCGCTGGCTTCCTCAAAAGCTTTTTCTAAGTTAGTCCTGCACACCAAGACTGTCGTTCATTTATTTGCTCTTTTCTTTTAAACATTTTTCTTTACCTGTCGTTCTAATGTCGCCGACGCAAGCGACCTCCATTCCACGTGTTTCGGTAACGATATCAATCATAACGCAATTTCGTACTAAGTAATGTTATCGAATCTTATACTTATAACAAAGTGTTCAGATAATAATATTGATCTGTTGTTGAACTCCGCTCGTACGAGTCTCCTCGCTCGTACATTGTAACTGCACACAATAACGATAATTATTAGTTTAGCGATAATTTAAGTGATGTTTAAAACAAATAAATAATCGTGGTGTTCAGCGGGAATTATTTTTTAAGTAATGAATACAATATTGTAAAACTGTTAAGTGAACATGTATCTAGATAGATCGTGTAAGTTGTCCACTTGTCGATGTTACCCAGCTTTCAATCTTGTTATGCGAACTATCAACTAACTATAAATATAACAAACTCTTTGTTGACCTTTCTCGAGTTATTTTTGAGTTTATATTGTTGATGAAAATTTTGTTGTTGAAGTAAAACTTATTAGTTTTTATTGATTTTATTTTGTTTGTTATTTTATTTTCATCTTTCGACCCCACACGGTAGGAACTGACGCGCGCGCGACAGAGCGAGCTAGCAGCAATGAGAGAGCTGGAGAGCACTCTCACACAGAAAGACGTGCTCACAGCTAAGTTGGAAGAGAGCAAAATGAAAGTGATAGACTTAGAGATAGAGCTGAACGAATCATCGCTTATATTATCAGAAGTACTCAAATTGCCAGACCGGCCAGAATTGAATAATATTAAACGAAGTAAAAGCTTTTTCGAGTTGCAAAAGAGTGGTAAGGTAGTAGGTAGGCTAGACAAAGGTAGACTGAGCAGGAGCGACAACGAGCTAGACATGATGCACTGTAGAGACAAGAAGAGGGAGACACCGAACATTAGTAAATTAACGAGGAAAATATCTGACTTGACAAAAGAAATGGCGATTAAGAACTCCAAACTAATAGAACAGCAAAGATGTATATCGATATTAGAGGAAGCATTGAGAGAAAATAACAATATAGCCGAGTTTGAGCAGTTGCTTGCAGTCGTAAGAAGTAAAGATGAAAGAATTAATGAACTGGAACAGATAGTGAACAAGAACAGCGTGTCGAACCCGAGCGACTGCAAGGATAAAAGAATATTGGAACTAGAGGACGCTTTGAAGGAATCATTCTTGATAGCAGCAGAGAGAGAGAAAATATTCTATGAAGAAGAACAGAGAAGGATCGAAACATTAAGAAGGGTAAGATTATATTTTTTAAATATTGAATAGACATCTGACCAATGGAAGCAAATAAATAAATGTACTATTCTAAGTATTCTGTATCTTTGTAGATGGGTAAGATGGAACAACGAATACGTTCCCTGCAGAATGCTTCAGCGATGAATTGTGAGACATGTTCCTCAGTGCTAAAGCGCTTGAAGCAGCTTGAAGACTCACTACAACACTGTCAGACTAACAGGGACCATGTACTGCGGCAATTGTCTCACGTCGTGTGAGTATAATAATAAACTGCTTAATAAATATCTCGTTGATTTTATTGGTCGCCACAATATCATATTTGCTCATTTTCAAGGGGTAATGTGTAACCAGTTGGGCTTTTAGTAAAGCTTCATTGTAAAGACTTGCCTATTTGAGAATTTCTACGGCATTAATTTCTTAGAACACTTAGTAAAAAAATGGTAAAGGGCTATAGCTTTTGTATGAAGAACAAAATTTTTAACAGAATATTCATTTCTTTCCAGCCAAGATGTGCTAGAAGATTTGATCAGCGAGAAAGATTCTCTAATCGCCGAATTGGAGGTAAAGGGAGTACTTGACGAGAGTGAGACCAACCGATGTGACACGCTTAAGACAGAGCGAGATAGACTGCTCAATAGGCTTAAGACGGAGGTAAATAATTTATTAAGTAACTATTCTCACTATTTATATAACAACGCTAACTTGTACTTGCGCCATTTTTCGGTAAAGGGGTTCTCTTTGCTAAGTTTCTTATTATATTTTTGGTTTTGTCCAAGGCGTTTGTCATGTACCCAACATTTTACTTTGTAAGAAGATAATTATCCCAACTTACAAATGATTCATACATGAACATGTATTTACTATTATGATACTAGATTACTGATTACCTAAACTTCAGATCACAGCAACAGATAACTAAAAGACACAAAATATGTAATTACAAACTAAGTTCACTCCCTTAATCACAATATTTCACAATATTATGAATAAATTTTACTTTACAATTCCCAAATTTCAGAGCGAGCGAATACTGGAATTGGAGCAGTGGACCGAGCCAGTGGCCCAAGCAGCGCCCGAGAGCTCCCTACCAGTAGACCTGACCCTGACTGACGAGCTACTGCAGGCCTGTGACGACAATGTAATTGTTTGGGTATAGTCTACATCTATTGAGAATGCGGGTGGTACGCATGGAGTGACGCCGGTTAACTTATGGTTACGACTTCAACTTGGTTAGTATGCTAGCTAGGATCAATTTTGGTAGACTATCTTCATAGTTCTTCCTTCTTCTCGTGTGTAAGTAGCACTTTTATTATTATCTACAATTATATCTTTATCAGTTTTGTGCTGTCCTTCTTCGTCTGTCTAGAGTTTTATAACTAGTCTTGTAAGTCCAGTCTACAAAATTGATCTAGCTTCAAGCTTTACTATACTTCTTCCATATTTTATAACGTTTTGAAGATTTCACTTTACAATAGCTTCGAATATCTGCATGGAGTTCCTATTAGACTCAGATGTAAAAAGGCTTCTAAAATTAAAGACTAATATTAAAATGCCCACCAAAAATGGTGACCACACGCTGCTATATTCTATTTTACAATATCAACTTCGAATTTCGCAGAGCCAAAATTTAAACAACTAATTGGAATTTAAAATTGAGAATTTTAATGAAATAAAATTTGCTCAATTTATAAAAAGTTATGCGAGTGTGTTTGCGTGTGTGCTTAATTAAACAAATCGTGTTTATAACATGAGAAGGATTGGGAATGTTAACATTGAGCTGGTTAATACTGGACGTGGAAAAGTAAACTCTAATAGAAGAGATATAAGGACTAGAAACGTACGCAATTACTAGAATGTTAAAACAAACTTAGGGAGGAACAGTAAGGTTATAGATGAACTTAGAGCAGCTATAAAATGCCTAATATTTTAATGTAAGTATGTCGTCTTAGATAAGGAAGTGGTTATAGTCAAATTATATGTTATAAGCTGTGTAATAAGATTTAAAATTGAATGCAATTACAATTAGCGATGGAAATGAAGAACAGAACATTGATGCAAATCAGAATGGTGAAGAATTTGATAAAATTAGTGTACTAAGATCAACTGTCAAAGTTCTTAAGTATATTTTATGAAAGACCTAAGGCTAAAAAAGTATAAGAGTTTGACATAGACCATTTGCAATGGTGTAATAGAACATTGAGCTCAACAAAAATATGGGTGTGGTTTTAGACCTATTCCATAAACACCCGAATAATTATGTTCATGAAATCATGATTGGATAATACGGTAAATGTGTAGCTATGTGAATAGGGGAATCAAAATCTTATACGGAGCAATAAAGTACATTTTGGTATAACAAGCACAACATGAACTGTTCTAGTACTTTCTGTAGCTAATTGTAATGATGAAGGAGCACCAGCTAATGTTTTACTAATGACCACAGGAGGAGGACATCCCAGCAACTGTACTGTAACGGCAAACGCAGCTAAGTCAAAACGTAAATCTGTTTGTGGCCTTAGCCATCATCACCGCACTAGTCACCCATCACTGCTACCTTACCAACTCATTCTCGCTTATCACTCAAGCATCTAATGCCAAATACGATATTTCAACAAAAAAATCTAACGTTAGCTTGCAACGACTTTCGTCAAACTAAAACTAAAACCGAATTTTATACCAAAGATGTCAATTTTTCTGTAAATAAAGTTTAAGTTTTTTTTATTTGTTACTCTTTTTGTTTTATTTTTTTTTTCCTTTTTTATCTACTTCTCTCTTTCTCTCTCTGTCCATATGTTCCCCCTTTTCGTGCTCTAACGTAAGAGATTATTTTTTTACCTCATACGATTGAAGGAACCAATTTATTTATATTATCGTCTATGCTACGGCACTTGTTGATGTATACCTACATTAGAGCAATAATTACCGATATTATAGTTGAACACTCGATGTCTATTTTTAACTTAATACTAGTCAAATCTATCAATGTTCTAATGCTTTAACAAATATACTTATATTATACGTTTTTATACAACGTGTGGGAAAACGTAGGTTTATATATAGAGGGACGGTGTAATCACTTGAGGAGTATTTATTGATGGGTGGTTGTAGCTAACAAGTGAAGAGATGGGAAGGATCAGTACCGATGTAAGCTCGATATAAGATTGTTGTACTTCTCTTTCGTCCACGTTGTATGAAGACCAAACAGTAGTTATTATAATATTTTCACCTTGAAAAAGGATTTTGGACTATCTATCCCAAATATTTCGGCCTTAGGGATTTGTTTAGTGGAATTATTTAAATTAGTAGACACTGACATAAGATTAGTAATTGTTTTGCAACGAGTTGCTAGCAGACAAATGTTCAATAAATTTTTACATATCATGCACAAATTATATGGGAAAATTAATTCAATGCTGACAGTCTGCATATCATTACGACTTAATAAAGTAGCTTCTTACTCATAAATCATAAACCCCTTTAGGAGATCGGTGTTCGAGATATTTTTGGTGAGCCAAGACGCTTATACAATGTCTTAAAGCACTGCCTTACATTCTAAGTAAAAAATATTAAATATTTTTTGTTAAGCGAAACGCCTCGTTTGCTTAGTGAAAAGAGTCGGGACGACCGCTCTCTTCGACTGATACCGTTGAAATGAAATGAGTAACCGTGGGAAACAATCTACTTTCCGTTACGGCAGCTATCGAACTACCCACGTACACGAGTGATTTTATATTTACGTGTTTTGAGCTTTTTATAAATAAAACATTATACAAAAAACAGTATTGTATTTGTGATAATATAGAACCGGTGTCTACGAAATCCAATTTGTGAAAGATATTTTTAAATTCCACACGTTGTTACTTATCTATATATAATTACAGATATAAAATAATTATTTGTACATCTAGTTAAGTATGTAAGCCATTTAAGCTTATTGCTGTTTTAAGCAATTGTTTTTTAATGATAAAAATCCCATTTTCATAAATTGGATTGTCGCTCCAGAAATTTAATAAAAATAAATAATAAAAATGAATTGAGAAACATCGAATATCGCATATTTTCTCGATAACTTAACGTTCTAACGTGTATTAAGGGGCATTGGTCGAGTGTTTCAGTTATATTGTTATACGTTTGAACTCGTCATTCTGTTAGTACTAAGTGCATCAAATGACCTATCTGATAGTTTGTACTCGTTCATGTCCAATGTCCTTTAGCGTGTAAGTTGATATCCTTCCTTGTTCTATCTCCCACTAATTTATATGAGATGTTATATTATTTAATCACAAATTATAGAGTGTTGGCAAATTCTATGGCTTTTATACACGGTCGCTGAATGTAGTATGTATATGTACAGTAGGCGGGATGTATTATGTATGGCGGTGGTGCGGAGCGTCGACGTTGTTCTGGCGTTAGTTCACGCTCCGTGGCGGAGTCGTCGCGGCGTCCTCGACGTATTGTTAACGTCTTTCCGTCGTTGGTTCGACGCCCCGCACCCATCCGCGAGTTAACCTTTTGTATCGACTCCAGTGTGTAGTTGAATTGTATGATCAAGTCACAATAATATTATGGTATTGAAGTAAATGATATTAGTTACTTGTTACTTAAATATAATGGTATATAAATAACAGTGGGTCGTATTGTTTCACAAGTTGTATTGACCGAAATTATGCTGAAATTAAAAAAATACATGTTCTTTGAAAATATAATATCTTCATGTACGGAACGGTATTGTTTGTTTCCTTTTAATGCACCCTTTTAGGATCCCTGACATTGCCAGAAGTAGCTACGTCATCATCAGAGAGTAAACTGCTGGCTTCTTCCATATTAGAGTGAGGAGTACCTATGTTATAAGCTCATAGATTAGCAGGCGGGTTGGAGACCGCAGTTAAAAAGGTTTTGGGTTCGATTCCCGTACCTATTGAATTAATATAGATATTTTAGTAAAAGATAGGTACAATTGTTATAAATTTAGGTAAATAGGTACTATACTGGCTTTCCGATCCTGTAAAATATCAAGTAAGTATCTAAATATCAAATGACCAATTATAACATAACATAACATAACATCACGCCTTTTATCCCCGAAGAGGTAGGCAGAGGTGCACATTACGGTACTTAATGCCACTGTACAATTTAACGCGTGGGTGTTAAATTTTCACTATTTATGTTATGAGTCCCATGTAATAGGGGGTGAGCCTAGCCATATACCGGCCATGACCAATTATTTCTACTTCATAAAAACAGAATAATATACAAGTATAATATCTTCGATCTACTTATAATCAAATAGGTACCTATTGAATAGCCTACTTAGGTAAGTACGTAGTGAGCTCAAATTAGATCAGTTCCTTTAAAACTATTTAAGGAATTCAAGCATCAGACCGCAGACATCCGCCAAAGTAAATCTATTTCTAATCTGAAATCGGAAATATCTGTAACAAATTCGAATATTTGAAGCCAACGCCATCTAACGCCGAGTAGCGGAAGTAATAAGATTCTGTAGCTTCGTGATTCTTAACCAGTTTCATCTATCAGACAACAGATGGAGTTAGCAGTGAGATTATTAATACGTTTAGTATCTAGTATTGTAAAAAGTTTAGCAGTAGTCAGAGTAAACTTTTGCTAACTTTAAAATGCGGGTGCTAGCAGGAGGGGGTGAATTGACATCACCTAGATAATAGAGAAAATAAGCAAAATTGTAACTGAGGGATTTCTCGAAAATTTTCGATTTTGCGAACGATTTTGTGAGTTATAAGTGCTTTGCTTGCCTAGTCAAAAAGTAGCGATGAAGGTGTAGGTGTCCTCTAAATATTTTGATTATCAAGGGATAGGGTGGATGTACCCTGGAAGTGCAATGGGCCATTCATGTAATACCTACCTGTTAACTTTAAAAGATTGGATTACTAAGGCGTTGTCTTGTCCTAGTCTGCATAAAATATTTGCAATATCTTAAAATCGAGAGATCATAGCTCAATAAATACTGAAATTTTCGAACGTCTTTTGCGTGTGCACCACCATAAGGACAGGTTACATATAGGTATTTGCTAATTAAGGAATAGAGTGAGAGTGACCTTGGCAGAAGTGGGTCCGATTAAAAGTATTGAAGCCGGTAACTCATGCTCGGCAATCGCGTTTGCAGCCACTCAACCACTGAGCAAGAACTACGCAAAATTAGTAAGACTCCTTAAAAAATATTTTATTTAAATGAAAATATTCTAAAATATAACTGCGTAACATTAGCATTCTACCGCCTAACAACAAGTAAAGCGACCAGCTGTTACAAACCGGAAGTGCGTCGCGCGACCGGAAGCAGGTGCGTGTGAGTTCCGCTCAATACTGCACCGGTGCACATCTATACAAACTTATCACATGCACTTCGTATAACCTCTATGAATAAGAAAAAAAAGTCGATAATCGTATGAAGAAGATATACATGAAATTTCCAAACATGTTCACCATCACATGCACTTGGTATCATCTTTATTTTCTTAAGGTTAAGGTTGATAATCGTTTGAGGGAGCTGTGTAAAGAAGTTGGCAATCGGCAGGTCAAAGGGATACTCTCACTTGTTTCGTCAATTTTGAATATATAAAGTTTTTAATAATAGTTTGTATGTGTGATATAAAGACAGTAACATATTGTCGTGGCCCGAAGGATTAACACGCCTGCTACTCATGCATGAGGGTGCGGGTTCGAAACCTACCAACGGCAAGTTCCAATGTGACTTTTCCGAGTTATATGTACTTTCTAAGATTATTTAGACACTTCTGAAACCGGTAAAGGAAAACATTGTGTGGAAACCTGGGGTTATAATTTCTAATTATAAGTTTGAAATCGCCAACCCACATTGATAGCTCAGTGCGTGGTGATTAATGCTCAAATTGCAAGTTGCATTGCAATTTGATGAATTCGCAAGTTCTTCCGATGTGTAGAGGGAGCTCGCACATTTTTGCGATGCGACGTCGCATCGCTGTTTTGTGTACGAGCCCGAAGTTCAAGATTTTTAAGCAGGGCAAATTCTTTTTAATTTTTTTTGGATTTTGTGTTTTTTATAATAGATAACTAATTTTTATTTTAATGTCCGTCTGGTAGATTATGTTAAAACATTACACACGTATTTGTTATTTTTTTACATAAACGAATACTTTCGACGATATATTGATTTCTAATGTCGCGTGACGTCACTTCTATGTACATTTTATACGTAGAAATGACGTTTTAGCCCCCACTTCTAAACTTTGATTCGTTTTATCTAAGTATCATTTAATTATACCTACAACAAAATGAAAAAATACGTGTCTAATATTTTTTCATTACCTAACTGACGGACTAATTAGATTTGTAATTTTCATACCCTGTCATCATCCCTATTATCCTAGAAGCGTGCAGTCTTTTTTTTTTTTTTAAGCCTGAAAGATCCCCGGTTACCCGTTAGATTCTCCGCGACAAGCGTGCAGTCTAGAATGATACCGAGTGTAATAACAATAGACTAACCATGAGACTCATAACGTACTGTTGAAAACTGAGCCGTTATATTCTGCCCAAACAAATCAGTATATATAAAAAGGGTACGTAAATAAGTTGTCGATGTAACATCGGGAGTTTACTGAATAGAGTTGTAGCCATCGAATTGCGCCATCGAGGTCACATCACGAACTCAATAGCTCATTACAGCTCGGACCTTCGATAAAAGCACTTTTCCTATCTCCAAGTATCTAGTTTCTGTTATTGGGTCTTGTATATCTATGGAAATAAGGATCTTATTTTAATATTATAATAGTATTAGCTTCTGCCAACGGCTCCGCCCACGTTCTTGTAGAACAATAATTCTTTTATAAACATAAACTTCAAACCCCTCTTTTTAAGATGAGTCGGCTAATTAATATACTAAATACTTCTTCCAAGTAGCTATAACAAATACTTTTCTGTAACCTGCACATATATCGTTTCACCTAATCGAGAGATAATCGCGCACAAAGACACATACATACATAATACAGTTCCAACTGAGAAGGCCCTTTTTTTCTTTTTCAAGTCGGTTAAAAGCCTGTATATCATTCCAGACCATAAATTCACCTCTTTTCCAAATTTCATCCTGAACCCCGTGATTGAATTACAAATATACACATAAAACCACCAGCAAAGAAGTGTGGAGGAGCCATGCTTCGGCACGAATGGGCCGGCTCGACCGGAGTGATACCACGGCCTCACAGAAAACCGACGTGAAGCAACGCTTGCGTTGTATTTCGTCGTGTGAGTGAGGTTACCGGAGGCTCAATTACCCTAGTCCCCGTCCCTAGTCCCAGTCTCCCGAATCCCCGAATCCTCCACAATCCTCAAATCCCCAATTCCCAAAAGACCGGTAACGTGCTTGTAACGCCTTGGTATTTCGAGTGTCCATGGGCGGCGCCGATTGCTTACCATCAGGTGATTTCTGATGTCTGCTTGTTTACCGGCTTATGCCGTATAAAAAAAAAGAATGTAGATTACGACGCTGCTGCTGATGCCCCATGGAGCTGCGGATGGCCTAACGGGTTACCGTGGCTCCGGCTCTAGACAGGAGTAGGGATCGGGGTGGTTTTTAGTCTGAGTCTGACAGACACTAATTCAATTACCCAATGGATGATTTTCTATATAAAAAAAAATTGCAAATCCTCTTATTAGAGGAGGACTTGCTTACTTTCTTATATAGAGGAGGCTCATAGTCTAGTGTTGCTGGTGACATTTAGTAATTTTTTTTTTTTTTCTTAAAATTGCAATAAACTTTGCCCCACACTAGGATTTTCTCCTGTGTCGTGGGTGCGTTTACAAACATACAAGTTCACATACACAATGACACCCAGACCCGAAACAACAATTTGTGGATCACACAAAGTGTTGTTCCGTGCGGGAATCGAACCCGCGACACGTTGCACGGCAGCCGGTTGCCCAGCCACCGCACCACCCGTGCAGTCGCATTTAATCAATTGATAATGGTATTCATACAATTAATCCATTTTAATTGAATGTTGGCCGCAACATTTGTCACACACAATCCCGACAAACATTTGTCTTTAAAGTCATTGAACTTTGGTCCAAGCCCACCTGTGCTAAGTGTAGATTTCACACCAGGTGTTGGAAACAAGGAGTATTAATGAGACAACTAATTAATATTGGAATTAAAACGTTAAATGACATTAATAACTAAACATAGCATTACGATTCACGCCTTTTATTTACCGAAGAGGGAGTGTTTTATGGGATGGGACAGTCTGATCACCTGATGGCAAACAATCAGCGCCGCCTATAGATTAACCAGAATTGTTGTACGTTGCTCACTTTTTGGGGCAAAGTAAGAATCTGGTTACCTCAAATTTGGCAAACATTTGGCCAGGTTTTATACCTAATAACTATCGGGAGACATAGTAAATTAACTAAAAATCGCGGGTCGTGGCCTGGTAGCCTAGTAGGCTGCGCGACAATGCCGTGACCGCGCACACTGCTCAAGAGGAAGAACCCCTCTGTAGTACGAAACTAGTAGAGCTTTTGTCAGTGTATTCACGTGAGTAACCTGCGATTTTAGTTAATTTCGATTTTCCAGTTGTTTAAGTATGTTAGTCAGCCCCTTTAGTGTTACCATTCTCTCTTTTCAAAGTATTGATTTATGGAAAAGAACGAGTAAGAAGATTTCATGTTTATTCTTTAGCTCCCAGTTCCTACCGAAGCAGGAATGAAATGAAG